GCCAGCTCCTTGAGTACCCTGGGGTGAAGATTGTCAGGGCCGGCTGACTTGAAGGTATCCAGCTTCTCAAGACGTTCCTTCACGAAGTCAGCATCAATGGAGGGCAGGGGATCACCCTCACCCGGGTACTTTAGTACTTGCTGAAGCAGTATTGGCAACTCTCATGAAACAATCATGAGGCTCTTGATTTCCAAGTCAAATTAACTCTAACTCATGATCTCTGGATAGAGAGATCAAATCGTGGGATTTTTTCTTGTGGCGTGTGTACAGCAGTGCTGTGCAGGTAAGTCTGTGAAGGGGAAGGGGTGGGGGAGAGGGAAAAGGTGGGGGGCACATCAAGGCTGCCATGGTAAGAGAGGGAGTGGGGCTGGGGCTGGGGTGAATGGGGCCACAAGGCCAGGGAGGGTTGTGGGATGAAACTGTGAGCAGCTTGTCCAGGAATGCAGCATTGCACAGCTCCTGGGGCAAAGGCAGCAGGGTACAGAGCCTCAGCCTGCAGCAGGCAGCCTGCCTCTACCCTGGGCACAAATTTGGGGGTCACCTGTCCCCCATGCCTCCCCCAGGGGTGCGGCAGGGGCAGGGAGCTGCCCACCCCTCCCCTGCTGCTCTGTTGCACAACCCGTGACCCATCCTGCCTGCCTGCCTTCTTGCCTCTCTGCCTGCCTGCCTGCCTCTGTCTGTGTGTCTGTCTGTTTGTCTGCTCCTCACACCCAAGCCACTGCCCCTCCTCCCCCAGCCCTGCTGCTGCCCCTCACTCCTGAGCCACAGTACCCCACATCCTGCCAGGGTGTGTGGGGACCCCCCTTTGCTGTGCTTCAAATCTCACGCACCCATATCCCCCCACACCTTCACAAATAACCGCACCACACATATACACACTTCAAAAATAGTACCTCACGATTTAGAGTCCAAATCTATTGATTTTTAGGAGGAGTTTGTCTCATGATTTTTTACAGGGTGAGGTTGGCAATACTGCTAAAGCAAGTACTAAATGACTGTGCAGTACCAAAAGCGCAGTCAGGGGCATGTGTAGAAGCAACCAATAGACATTTAACCTGCCAACGTATCTGCACTACAATCAACATGCCCCCACAATGAACCAGTCACAATTCATAGATCCTACACATGCCTTTCCCAAAATATGAGATACCTGAGCCAGTGGACCAAATGCCCTCATGGGTGAAACCAAGCAACAACTACATACCAGAATGAACTGTCACAGAAAAATAAGGACACACACGGACACACATCAGTAGCAGCACATTTTTTCACAGAACAGCTACTCCTTTTTTGACGTCAGTCTCATTGTGCTC